GAATGAAAAATGTTTTTTTATATTTTATGTACATATGTTTTTAAACCAAAATTCATTATTTAAAATGTTGTAAATAATAATGTTGTCTTAATCTTGGTGTTATCATTTTAAGTTCCAATTCAATGTTACAAGTTTACAGATTAAATAGATACCATGTTTTATTATTGTGCTGTTCTTTAAATGAAATCGTTCTGATCAACAGTGATATCTTTTATACTTAAAATTGTTATTACATTATTGATAATTGATAATCAAAAGGTGACTACTTTAAACGTTTTTGTTTATGATGTAGTGTTATTGAATTATAATCGTAAATAATTGTGTGTTGTAATATAATAAAGATAAAACGACAGTTTAAAAAAATCAATTGTATATAATGTTTGTTTAAATGTAATTATCAACAAAAAGTTGTTGAATGAAACTGTTTATATTGATAATTTTTTTGTGATGACAAATATTTCTAATTTTTTTTACCAAGTTAAGTATTGCTTTTTTGTGTTAAGTTGCTTTAGTATTTTTGATAATTATAATTATTATAATGTATGGTTATTTTTCTAATCTTGAAATAGTTTTCAAATGGTTGAAAATAATTAAAAGAAATAGTAAATGATATTGTGGTCTGTAATTATTTGGCAAATTTTCAGGTTTGTAATATTTTGGCAAAGACTTATTTGTATTTTTGTTTCACTATTTATTTGTGATTGTAATTATTTTTTTAATAGTTTAGATTTTTGTTTTTAATTAATGTTGTACTATTTTATAAAATATTATTTGTTATTTTTTTAATACACAATCATATAAAAGGTTTTTTAATTTAATCTGAACAATAGGTATTTGTAAAATTATATTATGATATAGATGTTTTAATAATTATACTATTTATTAACTATATTTTTAAACAAAATGATGACCAATTTAATTAGGGGACCTACATTGACCACCACCTCTTAAAATAGATTTATTTTTTCTATTTCAAATCATATTCAAATTATAGTAAATAGGAAAATGGGAAGATATTAGGTCTGGTTCCCGAAATCAAGAAATGCCGAAAATTCACCTCGAGTCAGTGGAAACCAAGTGAGACGGAGCATTGAAAAGAAGGCTCATAAAGCCGCACTCAAACAGTCTGTTTGTGGACCTTTTCACCCACCTTCCAAGTCCTCCCTTGGCACGGATCCCCCCTGACCCCCCGCAAGCGGGGGGAACCACATCCGCGTCCACACAGTACGGACAAGGAAAGTGGGTGACATGGGGACGCACAAACAGTGGCTGAAAAATGGACTTCCTTCAAAAAACACTCGCGGCAAATATTTTATTTTGGTAAAGGTGGTGGTGGTGGTCAATGTAGGTTTCATTTAATTATATATTGTGACCAACTTTTTTTATTTTTTTGCAAATTGTTTATGATAATTGTTATTGTAAAGACGTTTCATTTGTGTGTTTGAATTTTGTTTTTTATTTGAAAAAACTTTCAAAATAACCCTATTTTTAAGCCATGGCGATAACTTCACTTGTTTTAGTTGTGAAAATTGTAATTATAAAGTAATTTATTTAT